GGGTTGCTACTGCAGGAATGAGACATTTCACAGAACCAGTGGCAGTCTTTATTTATTTATCTATCTATTTTATTTTAAAAATTTATATCCCACCTTTCCACCTAAATAGCACCCCCAAGCCAGTGAACATGAAAACACGGAAAGCATTTCAACATGTATCATAGAATCATAGAAACATAGAGTTGGAAGGGATCTCCAAGGCCATCTAGTCCAACCCCCTGCACAATGCAGGAAATTCACAAATACCTCCCCCCCAAAAACCCCCCAGTGACTGCTATTCCATGCCCAGAAGATGAAAAAACCCCTCCAGGATCTCCTACCAAACTGGCCTGGAGAAAAACTGCTTTTTGACCCCAAAGTGGCGATTGGCATTTCCCTGGGTGTATAAGTAAGGGCCAGGAGAACTAAGCACTGATGCAACCCTTCCTGCGCTCCCTCTCATGATCTGCCCAAGTTCACCGAATCAGCATTGCTGTCAGATGGCCACCTAGCCTCTGTCTGAAAACCTCCAAAGAAGGAGAGCCCACCACCTCCCGAGGAAGTCTGTTCCACTGAGGAACCGCTCGAACTGTCAGGAAGTTCTTCCTAATGTTTAGCCGAAAACTCTTCTGATTTACCGTATTTTTTGGACCATAAGACGCACTTTTTCTTCCAAAAAAAGTGAGGGGAAAAGTGTGTGCGTCTTATGGACCGAATACTGAGCCCCAGGGTTCAGAATATTTTTTTCCCTGTTTTCCTCCTCTAAAAACTAGGTGCGTCTTATGGTCAGGTGCGTCTTATGATCCGAAAAATACGGTAATTTCAACCCATTGGTTCTGGTCTAGCCTTCTGGGGCAACAGAAAACAATTCCATACCATCCTCTATATGACAGCCCTTCAAGTACTTGAAGGTGGTTATTATATCACCTCTCCGTCGTCTCCTCTCCATGCTAAACATACCCAGTTCCTTCAAAATTTCCTCATAGGACTTGGTCTCCACACCCCTCCCCATCTTCGTTGCCCTCCTCCGGAGACATTCCAGCTTGTCTATATCGTTCTTAAATTGTGGTGACCAAAACTGAACACAATACTCTAGGTGAGGTCTAACCAGAGCAGAGTAAAGCGATACCATCCCTTCATGTGATCCGGACACTCTACTTCTGTTGATACCCCCCAAAACCGCATTTGCCTTTTCAGCTACTGCGTCACACTTTAGCTACTCACCACTTGTGTATCGAGTTTTTTTGAAGAGGAATTGTAAACATGGATGTTCGGACTTTTCAAGGAAGTTGACCTGAACTATTCCTGGTTGTTTGTATATTTTGGACCATGTATTTTTGAGTTTCTGACTTATGTTGTATTTTTGATAAACTATGCTATTTATATAGGTTCAGATTATCAGACTCATTGATTGTTGAATGGTTTTTTAAACATTTTTATGCACGATTTGATCTTTTCTATCTTTTGTATAACTTCCTCCTGTGCTTCTCGGCTGTTTGACCATCTGGAAATTGGTAACTCTAGGTATGGGTGCAGTTATCCCCCCTTTTTCTTTATCCCCTCTGCAGGAGACCGGTCATGTGTGGGGAAGCCATTTGCACGGACTCAGCTCTTCATTTTCTTCGCCAACCTCCTGAAAGCATTTACTTTCCGTCAGCCCGAGGGAGTGGAGGGAGTGAACACTGAACCCGTAATAGGGGCCATAGTGTATCCCCAACCATATAAAATCTGTGCAGTACCTCGCTAGGCTGCAGGACAGAGGACGTGGACAGAGGAGCTTATTCGTCATGGCGATCCCTCCCGAAACTTCACTTTGCCCGCTTTCCCCTTCTTCTCAAAGC